ACATTTTTTCTTTCATCCTCCGTAGTCGTTTTAGTTGTGAAGATGTAAGTCGATCAAAACTTACAAAAATGGTTTCAGTGGGGCAAAAGTATCAAAACAGAATTTAAGGTAACAAGTGACAACATCGGTAGTGATTTTCAGTAAGTCATCTGTAAATAATTCCCAGTTAGTCGTATGAAACATATTTTTCCGATTCCGGATATTTTCTTCTGGTTAATTCCTATATTTGACTTTCCTGGTTTGATGCAAGAGTGTACTCTTTCCATGCTTTCCATATACTTTAGGTAGAACACGAATTATACAGTGATCCGAGCTAGACAATTGAGCACGTTTACGAGTCACATATATACCCACATCAATAATGAAAACAAAGTCTAAATGAGCATCCAAACGAGTAGGAAAATCTACTACATTCTGGTGACCTAGTGACGTAAGGAACCTACATTCACATGAATTGAAATCACCACATACAACTGAAAGTGAATCACTGAAAGCGGTAACAGCGAACTCAGTGAATTCATCAGCGAAAACAGACAGCGCAGATGATGTGCAGTCTGGAGTCACGTAGACATTGGTAACATAAACAGGATCAGGTCACCACAACGACCGAGACCGAAGTCACAAAACAGGTCACAAATGTCCAGACAATCTGGGCAATTCCATTGGTATCACTGGAAATTTGGTGTCAGCTCAAGCAAGTGCATGCAATCATTCGCCTGGCCTAAATAGAATACCAAGAACATGGTAAACGAATAAGCCATACCCAGGTTTCGACGAATGAGGAGAGGCCCTTAAACAGTCGCTTGTTTTATGTTAGAGATAGAAACTCTGGCTTGAACATCTTGGCAGATACTGGCGCTGCTCTTAGTATCATCCTTTGAAATAAAACTGAGCTGGGTCGAGAAACATCCCCAGTTACACTTCAAGCTACCAATAAAACCAAAATTGCGACATTTGGGCGGAAAACTTTAACACTAAATTTCGGGTTCATGAGTCAATTCCCCTGGGTTTTCAATGTAACCGATTTAGATCTGGCAGCACTGAAATGGACTTTTTGGAGAGATACAAATTTCCAGTTGACACTAAAAAAGGCTCTTAACACTGAAAGAAACTTAGAACTACACGAGAGGCAAATAAAGTTACATTTCATCTCTCAGCTTGATACAAACTCCTCCAGTAACAACTGCGAAATTCCAAGATATACTCGCGGACCAAACCCACAGCTTTCTAAACACAAATTACAAGCAAGTCATACTGTCAAAACCGAAAGTGCACCTGTGTTTGCAAGACCCAGGAGACAAGCACCAGATAAGCTCAAAATTTCTAGAGCTGAATTTGAGTACTTGCTACAACTGGGTATTATCAGTCCCTTTGATAGTCAATAGGAATCCCCTTTACATATGGTCTCAAAGAAAAAGGAAGGAGACTGGCGACCGTGTGGGAACTACAGGGCCCTCAACCAAAGAAGTCGTACCAGATAGGTACCCAATACCGCATATCCAAGATTTCACAAACAGTTTACAGGGTATGAACATATTTACTTAAACTGACTTAGTCAGGGCATATCATAATATCCCGGTGGATCACGAAGTCATCCCTAAAACAGCTATTATTACACCTTTCGGCCTGTTCGAGTTTGTACGCATGCCATTCGGCCTGAGGAATGCAGCACAAAAAATTCAAAAATTCATGGATAACCTACTTCCAGTTGCTCCATTTGCACGGGGGTATATAGACAATTTGCTTATTGCCAGCCTCGATTTACAATCACACGAACAGCATGTACGAGCAGTGTTAAAACGGCCGGATGAAAATGGAATGGACATGCATCAAAGTAAGTTTATTTTTGGTGTTCGATCTTCACAATTTCTTGGGTACACAATAAGCCCGAAAGGGATTACGCCTATCAAAGAAGAAGTGGAAAACATTAAAAAAATACCCCTTACATAGCTCTCTAACACAACTTAGAAGTTTCCTAGGTTTAATTAACTTTTGTCGCAGATTCGTACCCGGTTGTGCACAGCTAATACAACCTTTGACAAATTTACTTAAAGGGAAACCAAAAGAATTCAAGCTCACTTTTGAGGCTGTTGAGGCTATCAAACAGCTAAAAGATAAACTGGCCCAAGCATCTACGTTGATGTATCCGAATTCTCCTTCCTCACTTGCTTTGATGATGAACGATTCGGAAAAAAAATAGTAGGCGGTGCCCTTAACCAACTGGTTAAAACGCCTAATTGCTTTCTTCCCAAAAAGACTCCAGCAGAGACATGGTATTCTACCTTCGGGAGAGAAATTCTTGTAATCTATCTGGTCATTAGACATTTCCAAGACAAGGCAGGGAATTCATAGTTTTATGGACCACAAACCACTAACGAATGCATCGAAAGCGTGATTCGATAAATACTTACCTTGAGAAGTACAATACCTTGACTATATATCACACTTCACAAGTGATATCCGACATGTCAAAAGTCAGGAAAACCAGGAGGCAGATGCATTATCTCGACTAGAAATGAATGTGATACAACAGTCTACAGTAAACTTCGAGACATTGAGAGACAGACAAGAAGAGGATCAAGAATTACTAAACCTACCCACAACAAACAAGTCTAGTCTCAAACTAAGGCAGTTACCATCGCCTACTGACGGTATTCTAATTTACTGTGACACGATCAATGTAATGCCACAACCTTTTGTCCCAAAAGCATGTGAAAACTAATATTTAGTAAGTTTCATTCTTTATCTCATCCTCGTGCAAAATATTCGGCTAAGCTAATCAGTGCCAGATATATATGGCCAAGTTTACAGGAGGATGTACACAAATGGGTTAGAGAGTGTTCGACATGCCAACAATTAAAGGTTAATTGTCACACAAATTCACCTCTAGGTGTTTTCTTGCAACCAGATGCTCGTTTTTCCCATGTGCACGCCAACTTAGTAAGCCCTGTATTGTGTATGAATGGTTTTAATTATCCGTTTACATGTACAGATCAGTTCACGAGATTCCCTAAAGCCATACCAATAATGGACATCACAGCTGAAACAGTGGTCCAGGTCTTCATGCAAGGGGGGGGGAAAGCACGAGAAATCCATCGCTCTTCTGAAATCTGGATTTTCGAAAACCAGGTACCAAATATCGTAAGGGGATACACTTTGTGCATGCATATGTATATGAATTTCTTGAGTCTGGACTTACGCAGTCGTGCATGTGAATATATACAAAGAGACAGTGCCGGGCTCGATCACAGAGAGCGAATATGACAGTCTGCTTCAGTCAAAAAGGCCTAACCAGGTTTGTGAACAAAAGAAGTGAATAGCAAATATTGGTAAAACGAGTGGTGACGATCTGCCTTTCCATAGGAGCGCGTATACTAATGTGTATGCCATAAGAGAGATGAGCAAAAACCTATGTGTTGCCAATATGGATGTACCCGTCTAAGGCACAACGGCCAGGAGCTGGAACAGTTTTCCCTCAAAAACACATACTAGTGACGTGGTGTGTTTGCTTTGAAGAACAGCACGTCTCAACGGAAGAGCCAACTTGACTTACCTTAAGAGGCTTAACCAAACTAATTGGATCTGGATCGGTACCACACGTTTTAAACGATAAGTTTGTTAGTAACGTCTCTTATTATTTTTTCACCTAGGGGTGATCATCTTAGGGGGCCTTTTTAGAAAGTTGAGAAATCGAAACATTCGGCTCTTCTGAACTCTTCTTGCAACCAACAAGATTCCTGTCTAGCGATGTAGCTCCAGAAATCCTACTGGTTTGAGACAAACACAGGTGGATGCAGTCAAGAGCTTAGCAACCCTTAGCTTTATCCAGAGACGATTTAGCGACTTTTCTTCAGAGCTATTTCAGGCAGTATTCAAAATTTACATCAGGCTACATCTAGAAACTTACGACGTTGCAGCACGTCTTCTCAAAATCAGAGCTGGGATTCTTTTGAACAAGTTCAAAAATGCATCGCTAGTGTGTTGAAGATTAGAAACAAATCATATTAAGGCCGTCTTAGTTACCCAATATCGTTTCTGTTAGTCCCTGGAAGAATACGAGACGACCTGATAATGGCTTACCGAATACTAAGTGCTTCTGAGTACACGAATTGAGGATATACCACCTGAGTTTGACTAATGTACCTCAAGAAGCAGTTCAAGACGAATGGCATATCAGAAAGACGGCTTCCAGACAATATAAAACTTGTCCTTAATAGGAGCCTACTCCAACTAGAAGTTTCTCTCAGTAAATAGCTGTCAGAGGAGGCATGGTAGACAAGTATCCATAGATGGTTAATCATAATTCTCTTAACGTAATGTAATATTTAGATGTATTTGAATTATTGTGCGAGCTAGCTTTCCTCGAATCAACGCAATTTAAGCCATAAAGGACTAGGTGAGCACAAACAAACGTATTGTACCCGGAATTCGAAACCAGATAGTCACCAAGTACAAAAGAATCAATAGTTCTTACAAACACCACAAGTAGCTGTACCTAACACATGTTTCGTACCTTCTCATTCCTGTCAACATTATCCATATTATTATTATCATCATCATTATCGCCATCATTTTTGTCTCTACCATAATTACTACCACTATTATGAACCCTACTCACACGTTTGCGGAAAAATTGTATTTACGGATTCTGAGTTATCTTTTCTTTGCTTTCATACAATCTAGCTTTTCAACTCTTCAAGTCGCAAGTAGACAACCTTCTGTCCAGTAGTGTAGCGGTTGCCTGTTTGAACAACCCTAGTGTCTTAGAACAAATAGATTCATTAAATCAAAGATATGTAAAATCCTAGTTGTCTATCATAAACTCTAGGATTAGCTCAATAAAAACTCTGAACATGTGTTATCGGCACTTTTCATTAATATGTTTACATTAATGCAGATCCTGTGGGTAACAATTGGCTTGTGACCCCAGTTCCTTGCCATTGAATGATGAAGACAGAAAGTACATGGAAGTTTGTGTACAATGTGCAAGTAGTTGCGTTACTGTAATTTTGGCTCAGCCTTCGAAGAGTAGGTATGGGCGGTCAATATACATATATTTAATCCACAGTGCCCTGTTACACAGCGTGATTCATTTCTTTATTTGTATGCGTTTTGTTGGAGATTTAAAGCCATTTCCCTTGCTTCATATAGCGGTAAGACTATAATATGTGGACGACCTTGGAATGACGTTTTGTCTCACACATTAAGGACTTCACTTTACTCTCAATTATTAAAAAAAAATTTGATCAGTAATGTCAAACTGTTGTAGTGGGGATGCAGTTCATTAGTATAGTGGATCAGTTACTCAAGTTTGAACCCTTATCTAGTTTCTAAGATTGTGTTGGTCAAGTAGTATCACTGGTTGCTACTTAGTATTTAGCTGGTGATTCTATGCAATAATGTGTGGCTATGTAGTTGCATTATACAAGCCTGAAAGTTTGTGTGTGCCTAATTGGATGATAAAGAGTTTGGTACAGCATTGGGACAGAAAGATAAAGGAAACAGATTTAGCTTGGTTTAACCTAGTGCACACTGATGCAACTAATCTATGTCTGTATATTTGTTATATTTACTGACAATTTCAGGACAATTTTGGTGCTTTGGTTCGTTGATTATAATAATATACCAACCACTAAAATTGAAATCGAGGGACCACACCATTCGCAAAGTTTTCCCAGATTTCTGTAGTCATAAGAAATTTCCATTGCTTTTACTTATTAGAGGCTTCCATATATCCTAGGTCATCAAACAAATATATATTTAAGAACGGCTTTATTGCAAAGTGTTGATTAGTAAACCAGTTTCATTATACAAGTGGAAACTTTTGTTTACACACGTAAAGAGTTTTATAGCTTTAAAATTGGCAGTCGTCTGCGTTATCGACTTCCTCAAAGGACAGCATTCACCATTTCTCCACCTGTCTCGGAAAGCATGGAAAACAAGACTATTAGTGTCAGTGAAAAGTCGGTATTTCGATACACCAGTTTGGTCCTAGCCATATTGTATTTTTTCATTTTTCAGTCGTTAGCCATATTATTGGTGAAGGATAGTAATACCACACAGGTCCTCAAGTTAGAGCTCGTACCTGTGGCTTTTTACTTAAAAGGGATCAACACATATTTTACTTCATTTCTCTTTGATTTTACCACACGAGTCTTTAGATATTTTAGCGGGATACATATTAGATTAAAGCACGTTCCATGTAGTATAGTGTTGGGGCACGCTGCTTGGCTACTTCTTATCCAATGAGCGCTAGTGGATACTTATGTAGCGGTAAATAAATCCCCAAAATAAATAGCACTAAGTTTTCGACATTGGATGCTGACCATATGTTTTAGTGGACTCATCTAGCTGAAGGCGCTCGGTCAGGCATCTGCACCAGATCACGTGTGGTTACGCCGTGCTCAACATCAACCGCAATCGCTAGTCAGATTAGATCAGAGAATTCCGATATATTGGTCATCGCCAAATATACTCTTCCGATCTCCTCGACTCTGTCTTTTGATTTTAATGGGCGGGAACGAAATATATTAGAAGGTGTTACTGGTAGAAGCGTTGTCAAACACTGAATACCTGTGACATCATCATTGGTGAAACCGACGTGATCTGGTACACCTAATTGCAACTGTGAGTCTGTTCCTTTTTGGGATTTTTATATATCATTGCCTTATTTTTTTTATTTTTTTAAACATTGTGATTTTTTTTCGTGTATTTTCCTGGATATATATTTTTTCCCCTCGTTCATTATCGTACTTCATACTTCATCATGACTGAACAGACACCTAAAGTACTCAAGCTTAAGACTTTGTCCCCGCCTTCGTTTCAACTGATGCCTTTCTGGCCCGATAACATTGAAGCCTGGTTTTGCTACGCCGAAGCCGACTTCTCCGAGCACGGCGTGATCGACACACGTGCACAATTCCTCGCAGTAGTCAAGGCACTACCGCGCGAATTCAACAGGTACGTAACACCTAGTATGTTTACTAGTGATGTTTCCGATCCTTACGAAATCCTAAAACGCTCGATTCTTAAACGAGGAGACCTAACCGATCGACAAAGGTTAGATCAACTCTTCAACAATATCGACCTGCAACACGGTTCTGCGACGGACATGTTGCAACGGATGAGAGAGGTTATAGGCCCAAGAACTTTCGACGAAGGCCTATTCAAACAACTCTTCTTGTCAAAACTTCCCCAACAGGTGCAAGCAGTTCTGGTCTCGTTCCAGAACAACGCCTTAGACGAGCTAGCTGCATCTGCCGACCGCATTTTAGAAATTACGAAATCTACTACCGAGGTATTTTCAGTCAAAGAAAAACCTCAAACGACTCAGAATGATATAAACGACTTATGTCACACACTCACGCGTTATCTTAGTCTTCGTACCGACCGTAAGAGATCGCGCACACCACGTAGAAGCATTTCTCGTAAGCGATCTGTCTCTAGACCACGAGAGACAGATAACCCCGACTGGTGCTGGTATCATAACCAGTATGGAAAGTTTTCCAGAAATTGCAGAAAACCCTGCAATTTTCCCAACACGAAACCGACTGATTCGAAAAGCAATTCGGGAAACTTCCAAGCCGGCACGCGTTAACGGCAACCGTAGCCGGCGAACAAAGACGTCTGTTATTCGTCACAGATGTGACAACGAGAGTTCGCTACCTCGTCGACACTGGCGCAGAAGTTAGCGTTCTCCCAGCAAATCCTAACGACCGACTACACGAATCAACCCTAAACTTACAGGCGGCAAACGGAAAACCGATCGCTACGTATGGCAAAAGGTACGTTTACCTTAACGTGGGTTTACGCAAACCCATCCACTGGATTTTCGTTGTTGCAGATGTTTCTATGCCAATCATTGGTATGGATCTTCTACAACACCACAATCTGATCATCGACACGCGCGAACGGAGGCTAGTAGACGGAACACTAATTTGTCCGTTTGCGTAACTTCTTTTACTGGTTGTAGAGTATCCCCAGTCACAGTTAAACATATGATAGACCCACTCTATCAACCACTACTCGATAAGTACCCTGAGATACAACAAACTCAAACGAAACTACCGTGTGTAACCAGCAATGTTACACATCACATCGCGACTACAGGACCACCTGCATTTTCTAAAGCACGCCGACTAGCTCCTGAAAAGCTAAGGTTAGCGAAAAACGAATTCGATCACATGATGGACTTAGGAATCATACGACCGTCAAGTAGCCCATATGCATCTCCGTTGCACATGGTCCCTAAAAAGGACAGCAACGATTGGCGTCCAACTGGTGACTATCGGCGATTGAACGCGAAAACCATTCCCGATCGTTACCCGTTGCCTCACATTCACGATTTGACAGCTACCTTGAAAGGTACAACTGTCTTTTCGAAAATCGACTTGGTTAAAGCGTATAACCAAATCCCTATGGCTACTGACGACATACCGAAAACGGCTATCATAACTCCCTTCGGACTCTATGAATTTTTGCGAATGCCTTTCGGTCTAAGGAATGCTGCTCAAACATTCCAAAGATTCATAGACGACGTTTTTCGAGGTCTCAACTTCGTACACGCGTATGTTGATGACTGTCTAATCGCAAGTCCGGACAGAGAAACACATCTCAAGCATCTGGATCTTGTATTCGAACGACTTCAAAAACATGGCATAACTGTAAACGTTCAGAAATGCCAATTCGGAACCGACTCTTTAGACTTCCTAGGACACACTATCGATGCTCAAGGCATTCGACCTCTTAGGACCAAAGTGGCGGCCATTCTGGATTACCCAGAACCGACCACCGTCAAGCAATTGCGCACGTTTAACGGCCTGGTAAGTTTCTATAGACGTTTCATACCCAAATGCGCATTACTTATGAAACCTCTGACCGACCAACTTCGTGGAAATGCGAAATCCATTAATTTGGACGACAACGCACGAAAAGCATTCTCCACAGTTAAGGAACTGATTGCTAAAGCAACAATGCTTGCACATCAGGACACCCGAGCACCCATTAGCATCGCAGTAGACGCATCCGACTCAGCAATCGGAGGAGTCTTACAACAATGGGTTAACAACTCCTGGCAACCCTTGGCATTTTTCTCTAGAAGGTTGCTAGACACCGAATCGAGGTACAGCACATTCGGTAGGGAACTCCTAGCTATGTATTGTGCTGTACGGCATTTCCAACACTACATCGAAGGTCGTGAATTCACTCTTTTCACGGATCATAAACCGCTTACCTTCTCGTTAAGCTCTCCTTCTGACAAGTACTCTCCCCGTGAGTCTCGACAACTGGACTACATTTCGCAGTTTACTTCAGATATTCAACACGTCTCTGGAGCAAACAATGTAGTTGCAGACGCTTTATCTCGTATAACTTCCTTGAACAGTTTCCAAGGAATCGACCTTCTTAAACTCGCCGAGCTTCAAAAAGAAGACAGTGATCTTCAGCACGAGTTATCGGCCACAACACTTAAACTACGCATCAAACAGATGGGAACAGGTAAGGAAACCTTACTTTGTGACACATCTACAGGTAGGGATCGCCCAATCGTGCCGAAACATTATCGACGCAATGTCTTCAATACATTGCACAAACTTTCGCATCCAGGTGTTCGTGCAACCATCAAGCTCATAGCAGAAAGGTTTTGCTGGCCTGGAATGAATAAAGACGTGAGGGAGTGGGCACGCTCCTGTGTAAGCTGCCAAAAATCTAAGGTTATCAGACACAACAAATGTCCCCTAGGCTCGTTTAAAACTCCCGATGCTCGTTTCGACCATGTTCATCTGGATTTGGTAGGACCTTTACCAGATTCAAATGGATACTCTTATCTCTTAACCTGCGTTGACCGTTTCACTCGATGGCCAGAAGCAGTACCCATCAAGGACATCACTGCTGAAACAGTGGCCCGCACCTTCGTCGAACGATGGGTAGCAAACTTCGGCTGCCCTTCAACCATTACTACAGACCGCGGACGTCAATTCGAATCTGATCTTTTCCGTCGTCTGACCACTCTTTTAGGAAGCACTCGCTTCCGAACGACCGCCTACCATCCACAAGCAAACGGGTTGGTAGAACGTTTTCACCGACAACTGAAAGCTTCGCTATCAGCTGCAAACGTTTCACAGTGGACCGACGCTCTCCCACTCGTCTTACTAGGTATCCGCAATGCAGTGAAAGCTGACATTGGATACACTGCGTCTCAACTCGTTTATGGTACGACACTTCGACTTCCAGGAGAATTCGTGGATCCTTCATCCTCTTCAATGAACATGGATCTAACCTCCTACACGAACAGGCTTACAAACGCAATGCGTTCAGTTAAACCTGCTTCCACTCGACCTCAATCAACTGATGTTTTCGTTCAACCTGACTTACGATATAGTACACACGTTTTCGTTCGTCGAGACTCGCATCGACGACCATTCGAATCAGCATACGAAGGACCCTTCAAAGTTCTTCAACGTGAACCTAAGTACTATATAGTCGATAAGAACGGAACCAACGATAGCATCAGTATCGATCGCTTAAAAGCAGCGTATTTAGAAGGAAATCCTATCTACGTGGATTTTCCTTCGGTACAATCGAACGACACGACTCCGACACTTATAATACCTCATTCGACAACCAACACACACGATGATACTTCGACAGTATCCGAAAATAAACTTAAAACGACGCGTTCTGGAAGAAGGGTGAGATTTCCAGAACATTTAAACGACTATTGCACGTAAGGTACTTCTCGACATTTTATATTATTTTTAAAAAAAAAAACAATTTTAATATGCTTATATATTTTTATTTCTATCTAAAAAAAAAAACAAAACCAAAAAAAATCAATTTTTTTAACGCTATTACGTGTTCATGAGTTTATTTTCCATTTTTTTCCGCCGACATTGTGTTTTTACGCACATACGAGTGTATTTCGACATGCACTTACATTTTCTTTTTATCTTTTCCAGGACGGCTGGAAAAGAACGATGACGTTTATGAGGATCCGAAATTTTCCATGTACATTTTCTTTTTTTACTATGTTGTACCTCCGCCCCATATAGTAAGGAAAGACGACCAGACGCTGCTAAATTTAGTAAGCTATCAGAAGAGTGTTTACCAACGACAAACTCGTTGGGTTTAAACTTCTGGCTGGCCACGTCTTAGGGTCGTCACTGCCCTACTAGGGGGGGAGTGATCTGTAGCGGTAAATAAATCCCCAAAATAAATAGCACTAAGTTTTCGACATTGGATGCTGACCATATGTTTTAGTGGACTCATCTAGCTGAAGGCGCTCGGTCAGGCATCTGCACCAGATCACGTGTGGTTACGCCGTGCTCAACATCAACCGCAATCGCTAGTCAGATTAGATCAGAGAATTCCGATATATTGGTCATCGCCAAATATACTCTTCCGATCTCCTCGACTCTGTCTTTTGATTTTTCTGGGCGGGAACGAAATATATTAGAAGGTGTTACTGGTAGAAGCGTTGTCAAACACTGAATACCTGTGACATCATCACTTAGAGAAGACTCCAGGATCTTTTCATGTAAAAATTATAAATATACTAACGTTTTTCTCATTGTGATTCCTACTTCATTGAACCCTTTCACTTGGGATATAATTACGTTCCTGTTCAATCGTGTTCTGATTTGGAGACTTATCGAGTGAAGTAGTGTCCGAGATTACTAAGCAATGAGAGTAGCTGGGTCGTAATAAGAGAATTATAACAAGATTTATTCCAAATAACCTTAAAAATATTTTATTGGGTAACCAAATTTTATTTAGTTTCAGGGATATATATTATCAGCCTCATAATATTTGTATTACATGTTCCAAAATTTACTGTAACTGGATAATAGGGTGTTTTGAATTGACGTATTCTAGTAACATCCAAGTTTGTAGTCCTAATTTTATTAATTTTAATCCTTAAACTAACTAATGACAATTTTATTCCAGAAAGTATCATGTATGTATACATGATTGGTAGAAAAGTAATATTAACTGAAGCGAAATCTGGTAAACGATCCAATCGCCAGATTAAGGAATGATCTTGTAAGGTTTTATTTTAGAAATGACGAGTTTTCTAGATTTCTTGAATATTTATATCTGTACACATCTAGTGCGTACCTTCTTAATTTACTGGTACTGTATATAGTTGTCGTAACTGGTTTCCTCTTATTCTTGGTTTACAGAAGTCTACTGAAACGTTTTTGGCAATATTTGATCTGAGATATGTTGTTTTGTGCTCTAGCTCTACAAGAGTCCTGTTCACATGGAACGTAATTTTTACTAAACATACCCAGAATTTATATATGTGATCATATTATCCCAAATTTTTCGATTCTGGGTTCTAGAAATGAAAGGTCATTCCAATTCAACGTTGCCTCCGGGATCAGTTCTAATACAGTCTGGCCAGGCCATTTCTCAGACTTCTGGCATAGCTGCTCTCCAAACTAACAGTGTCACAAGTGGTCCACAGAATCTCCAAGTGTGGACTCCGTCACCATCTGGAGCTATTACGGTTTCGGGTATCCCATCATCAAGGAGTTCTGCCAACTTGGTTACTCTCCCCTCTGGCCAGACTGTATTGATGGCCAATTTGGTAACAACGGCTACCACAGCACCGATTTCTCTTTCAACATCTTCAATTGCTAAACAACAAATCCAAGTTCCAACGGGTCTTCCACCTGGTGGGCCCATTGTCATATCTAATCCCAATTCTGCTGGTCCACTTGCTACACAGCTCACGAATCCCACTGTCATACAAGGTCCTAACGGTCAAATGTCAGTGGCATTACCAGGTGGCATAATAAGTAGCAATACATTAAACTCATTCAATAGTTCATCCACTGCCTTTGTTTCAAGCACATTGGGAAACATATCTACCGATCAACCTGTACATATCGCTCAGATTGTTGATAATCATTTGCGTCCAGGAACGGCTTGTTTCACAACTAATGCTGGCTTTCAGGGAATAACACCTATGAATCAAGTACTTTTGGACTCAACAAGTTTTAATCTTGGCAGTGCTCAAACACAAAACAAGTTGATTAATATGTCGTCCATCAGACCTCCTGGACTTGTGTCTTCTCCCATGCAACCAGTTCACCCTGGTAATTCGTTCGCTGCAGCTGGAAATATTCCTAGAGGTTTGTCTGTCAACCTTTCTTCTGACATCACAAATTCGCAGTCAAAACCATCAGTTTCTCAACCAGTCATTGTCTCTACTTCAAATTTGCCTGTTCAAGAAGCAGCTATATATCCAGTTCAAGATGAATGCTCATCGGCAATGCAAAATGGTACTCCTACTTCGGGTCCAGTTACAACATCTGTGGTTGATGTTAGCTCAACTAACAATCCATCTATTTCAACTGCTGGAGTTACTGTCGTCGAAATACCTTGCTCACCTGAAAATGGTCAAACAAATCTCAACTCAAAGTGCATCACTGATGAGCAAACCAATTCCGTTTTCACATCAAGTTCCTTATCTGAGTTGTTAACTGAATTTGAACCTCATTTACAACTAGATCCTGATGTTGAAGAGGTATGTTACTAATTATTTTATTCCTTGCCTTTTACCTATACAAGACAGGAATATAACCATATTCTGATATTATGTCTTTCTAGTTAAAAATTTTAGTTGTTAAGTCTTCACCGTCGTTTTGTACAAAATCGTGAGCTTTTTAATTATTTTAAAAACACTGGATCAGTTCGTTTTGCCGACCTTAATTGTCCTCATTCGTTCTTAGTCTTTTTGACTTTGGTCAATGGATTAAGATGGGTGTAAAATGTATATCACATGTGTTCAGTTACCGTCTACCTCGTCGAGAAATGTTGGCTGATGTAAGAATAACTTGGAAAAAAGGTAGGAGGGTTTAGTATTGGTGAGTAGTAAGAGAACAAACACAGTTTAAAGAGTTCATATAATTCAGTTCCTTATCATTTCATTTCCTGAAACGGACAGGTCGATACAAGACAATAACTAAGCACTCATACAGGTTCAAATTTTCTTGATGCTGCACCACTGTTTTTATTTGTGCTTATGTTATGATTTCTCTTATTACGACCCAGCTACTCTCATTGCTTAGTAATCTCGGACACTACTTCACTCGATAAGTCTCCAAATCAGAACACGATTGAACAGGAACGTAATTATATCCCAAGTGAAAGGGTTCAATGAAGTAGGAATCACAATGAGAAAAACGTTAGTATATTTATAATTTTTACATGAAAAGATCCTGGAGTCTTCTCTAAGTATCCACTAGCGCTCATTGGATAAGAAGTAGCCAAGCAGCGTGCCCCAACACTATACTACATGGAACGTGCTTTAATCCAATCTGTATGTCGCTAACAACTCTATTAGCCAACTGTAGCTGAAAAGTTACTAAGGCTACAAACCGTTTACACGATACTCAACCTTGGCTGATAATATCACGTAGATATATGTATGATCCAAGTTAGAAGTTAAGTACTTTGTATGAAATGCTTTCTAAATGCCTTTGTTGTGGGACTTGGAATCATGATATCCTCTTATGATACATTTCAAAGTTTTGAGTTATAACAAGTCTCTGATAATTATTGTTATCAATATTTATGTTCTCTCGTTAACCTTTAGAAATATTGTAGTGAAGTTGAAATGATACACCATTGATCCTGAAGTAGTATTTTCTGTGTTTATCGAGTAATAAATATTTTAGATTTTAGTAGTAAACCCACCAACATAATTTAGTGAAATCACTCTGTTGTTAGTACCTCCATATAAACTGTTATGAAGAACTCTTTCAAAAAAATATTAGATCAAAATACGCAAGCGAACAGTATTTCCGTTTAGATCTTCATCAGAATTTACTCTAATATGTAGTAATCCATTTATATGCATATATGAAACGTAGTAAGTCAATCATAACAATTTATGAGTCAGTGATAATGAAAAGCATTAAATAACTAATCATAATAAGTAGAGAGTATAAGCATGATAGTAAATATAAGAACAGTATGACATGAACAAATATGTATCGACATAGGTAGTAGGCAAAAGCTTGAAAAAAAGGACTTACTAAAATGGTAATTATTAGAATTTATTTATCTGAACACATAAATATTGGTACAAAGGGTTACCGAATACATATGCACCACACAGGTTATTTGATTTATGTGAGGGCTAGGATACTCCCCGGGTGCCCAGACTGAAGCAGGTGGTTTTCTTAGGGGGCCACACTCCGAGTCTTTGACCTAAATGTCTAATCCACAAGGCAGTGGAGCAACGTTACGAGATGCGGTACCATGGTAGCAGGTGACTAACAGTAGGTTCATACGCCTTTTGTTCAGGTCAGGATCCTGGAACTCATGTGCACCATTGTTTTGGAATTAGGGTTTTCCAACTCCATTAGGTGGAACCTCCATATCCACCAACCAGGTTAAGGCTCCAAACATTCGCTTTTCGTCCTCTCAATTTCGCAAACGACGCCTCTGCTGCGAGGAGGCAATAAGTAGGACTTCTCTGTCAGTGGCTGTATACGTGTGGTTATGTGAGAGTATTTCGAGAGGGAGAGCGGACTTTCCCGACTCTCGGTCGTACCAGGGCATTTGCGGGCAATCATTATAATTACACAATAAGAAATGTATATGAATAATCAGATTAAACGTATGAGTAAGTACAATAAACATTTGAAAGTTAACAATTTTGTTTTTTTCTCAGATCAGTATTTTTTTGTGTTACCTTTTTATCCCACTTTCTTTCTCCGTAGGTTATAACTAATTTAGCTAATGAATTTATTGTAAATTGTGCAGAAAAAGCTCAACAACTTGCTTCACATAGGGGTATATCAAATGTTGAGGCAAAAGATGTTGTATTTTGTATGGGTAGGTTTTTGTTTTTTTTTTATAAATTTTAATATTTGTTATTATCATCTGATTGTATAGTTGGATTATATAATTCAACTATTTATAGTTTCCTAATATACAATTAATAATAACATACACTCTTAAATAGAGTGAGACTACAAGTATAGGGGTTGTGGAGATTATTAAGTTTTTGATTGAGATCATGAACCGATTGATGTTAGACCGCCGTTGGAAACCCGGAAGCACCGGATGGCCGTTTCATCCTATTGTAGGACTCCTCAGCAGTGCGCAACCGTCCCGCTCGCGGGATTCCATGTTTCCAACGGTGGTCTAACATCAATCGGTTCATGATCTCAATCAAGAAAGACTTCTCGACCTTGAGTATGCGGATGATATTGTCTTAATGTGCGATAATGCCCAAGGCATGCAATCCGCACTTAATCAGTTGGCAATCAGTGTCCGTAGGTATGGTATGTGCTTTGCACCTTCGAAGTGCAAAGTACTTCTACAAGACTGGCAGGATTCTAATCCTGTACTCACCCTGAATGGTGAGCAGATAGAAGTAGTCGAGAAGTTCGTGTATCTGGGTAGCTGCATAAGTGCTGGTGGGGATGTGAGTGATGAGATCAATGCACGTATAGTGAAAGTCAGAGCGGCTTATGCCAATCTGGGCCACCTTTGGCGCCTTCGTGATGTTAGTCTGGCTGTAAAAGGTCGGATCTACAACGCGTCGGTGAGAGCAGTTTTGCTCTATGCTTGTGAAACCTGGCCTCTCCGAGTTGAGGACGTTAGACGACTCTCTGTGTTCGATCATCGTTGTCTCCGAAGGATTGCTGACATCCAGTGGCAACACCATGTCAGTAATGCAGAGGTTCGGCATCGTGTGTTCGGGCACAGAGATGATAATGCAATCGATGTCACATCTTGAAACACCGACTTCGGTGGCTTGGACATGTTCTACGAATGCCGTCCCAGAGAATTCCACGTGGTGCATTATTTGCCGACTGTGGGACTAGTTGGAAGAAGCGGAGAGTTGGTCAGTGCATGACATGGTGTCGTGGTATGAAAGAAAGCTGCAAATAACTGGCTTCTATCGGTCCTTCACGACTCCCTGGTTGGGGTCCGAGAGATGGTGCTACACAGTAGCTAGAGACGTTATCAGATATGGCTCAGGATAGAAGCCAGTGGCGATCCTGCTGTAACCTTTTACTTTCTTCATAAAAAGTGGTTGTGCCTCCCTTAACTGAAAGATTTCTTCTGATTGTACCTTTCCGTTCCCTCATTATTACTATTATTATTACTATACTACCTTACACCAACCTCTTCGTTATTGTTCTTTTTTTCACGCTCCTCATCTTCTTTTCCTTCTC